TTACAATAAGTACTCTGTCATGACAAAACCTTCCAGTACCTGCAGACATTTTTTCTCATTTTTTCTGTTTATCAGCAGCTGCATTTCTGTAACCTTGGTGTACACAAAGCACAATAAACTGCATGAGCCTCATGTACTGCAAAACCCGTTCAACAGACACAACAGGTGGTGGAAGGCAAAGAATAAATAAACAAGGAGACATTTGTTTGTGCTGAAAATCAGTGATATTTATTTGCCCTGGGCTATGACGTACAACCACGAAGACACTGTGCAAAGAAAGCAAAGATTAAGTCACACTTACGGAGAGTCGGCAAGCACGTATTACACAAACAAAAATGATATATCTGCAGTATATTTCCAAAAGAGTTCATGCTACAAACAACAGAGAAACCAATAAAATGAGGGCTTGAAACGAATTCACAAGGAACACAAACACCTCAATCCAAATGTAGAAATCAATACATTGTTTAAAATATACTGGTATATTCAGTGTCATTCAAAATTTGAATCTCTTAACACTGTTTTTTAATTATTTTTTTGTGTAACATTTGTTGTTGTCAGCCATCTTTAAAAGTCTGCAAAAAAATCCAGCAAAGACTCAAGTCTTTAACGAGCTGATTTATTTCAACACGACAGCGACGTGTGTTCAGACGCTACATTTACTGCTACGATAGAGGCTGGATTTTTATTCCACACGACAAGATGTTTCCCTGTAAATCTGCTCTCTGAAAAGGAGATATTGCTCTTAAGGCCAGTTTCTCAATCAAAATAACCGAAACGTTTGTTTTCGTAAATGAGAAAATCACTACAAGGCTGATACACAACTCGTTGAAAGCATTAGAACAAAGAATACATGAAACACGTGGACCTGTCTAAATGATGTGCCACCTGCGTAATGGATGGTTACAGATTCATTAATAAAAGCAGTTTAAAAAGCGTTTAGCATTTACGGCATCGCTAATGAATTTGTCAGCTCTAGACATATTTATTTTAGCGACACTCGTCTGTGCTTTCACAAAGGTGCAATCGACCGCTGGCTGAACCCCGCCCTCGGCTGCTTTTACAGTTTTATTTTGAAATGACTGATCGTTTTTGTTCAGGCACAAACACACAACAGCAGGTTTCAACTCAGTGGTCGCCACTTCTGTTGGCTGAAATGACAAATGTTGATCACAGTTTTTATTAACTAGCTTAGTAATGAAGCTAATGCTAGCTTCCAGAGCTACGTCTCTATACCTTCTGAGAGAATCTTAAGTTTCTGTCCTGCTAAGACATAGATGCTAAGAATGTCTCACCAGTCGTGATCCATGTAGATGACATGGACACTGACGTTAAACCTGTATTGCCAGAAATATTGTACGCTCACATTGTTTTAGCTCTGGTAGTCTTGTTTTGAAATTACAAACATCAGCAAAGCCGTCAAACAGTGTGCGTTTTCTTTTTAAGAAAAGTTCTTCAGAATTAGGAAAAAGGAGTGAGTTTGGTTGTTGTATCAGGTAAAGCTGGCTTTTATTAATGTGTCCATGATCCCCATAAACACTTTTCCAGCTTAAAGGCAGTTTAACTGTGAATCTATTCCTGTGCAGACTGACAGCCGTGGACACCATAGACGTGTACTTATTATATTACTTTTCTAGTCCGCCTACATGTGCAGTTGATCTCATCTACTTATATTTGTACTGCTGAGCACGTGCACCACTGCAATTGTAGTTTAAATGGAGACGACCCCTCTGTTCTTGCTATGCAGAACACCGTCCTTAGCCCAACATGCTAACTGTAGCTTTCACTCGAGCACATATACTCCCTCCCTGCATTTCAGCTATTACACCTTTATCTCTTCCAGTCTGTGCGACAGCGGCCCTCACAAACACTGCAGTGTACCGTCGCCGCTGCATGTACACAGTTAGGACACACTACTTCGTCACTGTGTTGTGCCTGAAGCTTTGATTGTCTTGCTCTCGTATCTGTTGCGGCGTTGTGTTCTGTGAAATGAGCTGTCATCCGTCTGTGTGCTCTTGGTGGCTGGAGCTTGTTGTTGGAGACACTGTGATGAATGTGTTTGTGTTTCAGAGGATTGTGGGTCAGAATGGCCAGAAAAGCAGAGTGCAAAATGTGACTGGGTGTAGTCGGACATAATGGTGTTTTGGTCATACTGCACTAAATCTGTTTCTGACAGACTACACAGTACAGTAATATGTGTATTAGTATCTAAGATGGTATGGCCAGTCAGCGGCCATCTTGTTTTATTATGCTTTCCTGTTTAGTTTTTTGTTACAATGCAGACGATGGCTTTTTGGTCGGAGGGATGGACCATCTTTGGCATTTTGGAATTTTCCCATCAGTTTCTATTCAGGATTGTTTAAGTGGTTTGTCTCCCCCATATAACGTCTCTGTTTGTTGTTAATGATTTTAGTTAACAATGAGTGTGTTGGTCTTGGAAGTAATGTTTAATTGGAACAAATAATGTGCAAAAAAAAGAATCAGAGTGCAGTTAGAGATTCATATTACACTTGCAATATTTATCCAACTGTGTTGTTGGTTATTAATACTGAGAAAAAACAAATTGTGCATTTCTTTTCCACTGAAACGTTTTTAAAGAAGTAATTTTTGGTGCAAACTGAACCAAACCTGCATGTTTCCTCACATGCAGAAAATGCAAATTATAGGTCAAGACATCTCTGTAGCACTACACTGTCTCATTTAAAATGGTTGCTTCTATCAGAAAAGAACTAAACAAAAACAGCTGCTATAATCTGGATAATAGACGTGTCCATGCTGCGATTTTGACAGTAATTTAATGAATTGTTTTGCTGTGGTACAAATTATCAATACGAGTCGTAGTGATGTTTGTAAGCTAACGAGCTGGACATGTTTGCAAAGTGCTAAATTCTTTAATCACATTCTGCTGTTTCATATTTAGTTTTGTAAATGCTGGATTAAGCCTAGATACGGTTGCCTAGCTGTGATTGGTCAGTCGCTACAGGTGGGCGGGGCTTAGCTAGCGGTCAATTTCTCTACGTTTGAACGTTTGGCACTGCACATTTAGAAATAATTAATCAAAAAATTTAAAAAGTTGATTGCCACTTTTTTTTTTAAATCACCAATGACTCCAGATGAACTCGGATGTCATTGGTTAGATATACATTTGTTTTTGTTTTTTTTGTATTTCACATTTCAAAAATGTGGATATTAAGGTTTTTTTTAAGTGCAAGCAAGCAAGTACAAATAAAGCGCATCTAGAATGGCCAATGTTGTTTTTTTTTTTTCCATACAGAATTTTTTTATGTGCTTTGTTGAAGCACAAAGTTAAAAAATATACTACAAAACTGTCTTAAAAACAGGAATATAAGCTGATTGGTATTGCTGTATGTTACTGATTATTAGTAATACATTTCAAAGCTGGTGGGAGAAGACGCTACAACACGCACTACAGACAAGAGACAAATGAATTCAAATTTAAAAAAACACAGTATGAACCTGAACAACAGCAATGGAAAATACTGTCCTTTTGTTTATAAGTGCTATAAACAGCATCCTCTCGTCCTCGCCTGTCCTTCCTCATTCATCGTCGCTTTTGCTCTTGTCTGACTGGTCCTGCGAAGAGAGAAAGAGATGAGGAGCGTTAAGGAGGAGGCAGATTTAAAGGCAGACAAAGATGCAGAGGCGGCAGACGGAGCAGCGTGATGGAGGTTTATCGTCTGTGGAGCAACAACAAAAGGCAGCGCAGGTCATCGCAAACTCAACATGTCAACGCTGTGAAATAAGAGCCCTCCAGAGGAAGGGGAGTCTGAAGGTGAGGCAGGGCCGCGTCCTCACATCAACTCCTGCTGCTTTGATTCTGATCGTGGGATGGAAGCCAGCGAGGAGTCGGGCTGTCCTTTGAACAGCATCACACAAGGGCGGACTGTGACGGACGGCTCGCAAAATCCCTCTCACTGGCGCATTTGTAGTCGCAGAGTAACGCGGCCTTTGGCTCCGAAGCTCTGAGGTTTAATGTAAACAGCTCGGCCAGAATCGGTCCGTCAAAGCCCCTGAAGTTCAGTATCACACTGACGCAGCACCAGAGCAGAGGTCAGGCCTGCAGCCGCCCTCGCAGGCTGCAAACCAACCACCAAAAGGATTCTTATCGCTGCAGATCTAAATTAAACATTGGTGTGATTTTCACTGGCAGCACAGTGTTTCTGTCCTGCTCTCACACTGGATTAGCAGCAGTCCTACAGGCTGTTGGCTGGATCCTGTTGTTTTAACCCTCTGAACCCTAAAACCCACCAGCGGGGTAACAGAAGGCGTGTTATTCTTGAAAAATTCTCAAAATGACACCATTTATCAGAGCAAGACACTGTCAAATCAGACCGAATCGCAGGATTTTCAACCAAATCTAAGCTTTAAAATCAGAATATTTCATCATAATCGCGTCACATTTACAAATTTGCCAAAAATAAAGCATTAGTTCTAATCAGAGTTTGTAAAAAAAACAAACCAGAGCTCCTTTGCACAACCGTGAAGCCATTATTGACATAAAAAGACTATTCGGCTGAAGTAGAATGAAGTGCAGGTTGTGTTTATACAGAGCAGATAGGAGACGTGTATGAAAAGCATTCAAAAATAGAAATAGCAAATATCTGTAGTTTGTTTTTCCCCCACGTTTGTTTGTAACACATGAGCACTTAGAGATTGTTGTATGCGTTCATTCCTGGGTTTTGCAGGATTGAAGAAATACAACTTTTAAAGAGGGATTTTATATCTTTAATATGCAGCATAAAAGACATTTGAGTTCTCTGCTTCTAGCCAGGATTGTATTGTTTCCATAGAGGTGCAGGACTTTATACTGCAGTGAAAAATGAGCCCAGAGTGAGTAACGATGCCCAGAGACTAGTTGGTGTTCAGAAGATTGAGCCCGAGGTGGATGAAGAATAAACAACCTGATGTGCCCGGTGGTGGTTTCCTTACAACATCTTTAACTGTTTCAAAAACATTGCTGAGAGTAAAAATGTCACAGGAGCAAAACAGCCAGAAACTGTTTGTGGTTGGGAGGGCTGATGAACAGTGGAGACATTCAGCAACACTCAGGAGGGTCGTCTCGGGTAACACGCTGTGTTTGAGACTTATCAGATGTCAAAACTGTTTGTAACACTCAGAGAGGATTTTACAACTTTGGAGAGTTTTCCAGAGCGGTTTTGGCCAAATCAGCGTCTGGCGTTGTGTTGTGGTAAAACTTGAGTCCGGTTTGGTTGGTCGCCCGCTGACTGGCTGTTTATAAACCAATAAGAGGGCATCCTTGTGTTCAATGTTGCATCAAATATTTCTACAAATACTGACACACAGTTGATGTTTTACTCACGAAAAGTTTAGATTTCTCCACATCTGTCTGTCTTTACAGCCCAGATTGCCGTCTCTCCTCAGCATCTGTAGTATTTACAACCGCCTTCACCACGAGGAGATCCTTTATGCACCCTACTGGTGTTATTCCACTCTGCTAATGGTGTTCACTCTTATTCACCAGCTTGCAGTGCTCTGGTTGTTCCAGTATGACACCGTGTCATTTCACCTGTAAACATGTCCGAGCAGAACCATGTGGGCCTGAAAGGTGACTTTTGGTTTGGGGGAAGAGGTCAGTAGATTGTTTGGTATGGGAGGGTTAGTCCAGTTGGTGTGAAGTCGGTAATAAACCCATCAGCGGTCCCTGCTGTCGGCTCAGCATCCACTCACACTGTCAGCCCTTTGTACTGATGGAGAGGAGCTGGATTATTACATGGCAGGATTTTTTTTCCCCTTCTTATTATTATTCTGACAAAAGCAAATGAAATGGACCTCCAAGACTTCCCTGTGTGTCATGGTACCCTCCTTCTAATGGCCCAAAGTAAAAATCCACTGGTTATTATTTCAGCGACAAAACGGGTAATTACATGCATCTAAATGGAAAAGTTGGGTGCAGCAGTGCAAACCAGTGTGAAAAGTTTGTCTGCAAAATATCTTAGAAATGAGGAGGAGGAGACAGAATATATTAATTTGAGTTTTTTTTCACACTTCTTGCACATTAAAGGGTTTCAGCTGTATTGTGGCTCAGTATTTAAGCTCTGTGGATGAATCTTTCCCTGAAATGAACATGCTGCTGCTCCAGAACTCTGACAAACGGAGCTGTAACTCTGGTCCAGATGAGTTGCTTCTGTTTGGTCGTAAGTTTCTGATGCCAGCAGAGACTGATGACATCGAATACAACATGAGGCAAGTTGAAAAATGCTGCTATCTTCTCCTTTCATATCGGAAAAAGACATCTCAGGCCTGTTCTGCCTCAGACAAGGTGAATATGACGACGGCACAATATAGTCTAATACTCAGCAATAAAATAAGGCAGAGCTCCGTCCCTCTGCTTTGAGACAAAGTGATGCAGTTACTGTGAGGAAATGACTGAGGCATGAAATTGGCGCAGAGATTTATGTTGTGTCTTTGATGCAGCAAAATTCCAGCCTGAGAAGTTTTTGGGTTTTTTTTGCTACTTATTGGTTCCTTTTAAAACGAGGGAAGTGGTTCATTTCACTTCAGTTCAGAATCAGTGAGCCTGTGCTTTTACAGCTATTAATTCTAGTTATAATAAAGTTATGATGATGTTGTGATCTATGAAATGGCTCAGTGAACTAAAATAACTACTTCTCATGACTTCTGATTACTTGTATAGAAAATGGCCAAATGTTGGGATGGAGTCGAAGTAAATAAATCTCAGAAAAGAACAAAAAACTTTCCAACTCTGACTGAGATACAGGAACCAACACATTCCCTACACTCTCCAGCCTGTTGAACTTTTACGACATCAAAATTTATTTTTTTAATTAAATTAGAATACTACTATTAAAACAGTTTAACAAATTAGTAATAACTACTTTAAAAAGTTGTGTTTTCAATGTTGGTGTCAGTTTGTGATTAATTTCGGAACCTGTGACAATTTTATCAATACCCATAAAACTGAACCTGGAACATCGGTTACGTCTCAAATAGTTCACAAATAAACGATTGACTGGTGTCGGAGGCAGACATCATGTTATATTTACCCGATAATATTTGATTAATTTAGAGTTCACTGGGTTCCTTTTAACACACTAACAAGGCACTAATAAAGGATCCTGTCAGAGTTGAACAGGTTGTGATCAATAGGTGCTTCGATGTGAAGCTTGTTTGTTTTTAATGGGGAGATGAATTGAAGACAAACACGGCGTCTAGACAAAGAGGAGAGGAGTTCTTGTTGTGGAGGAATATTGGAGATGGGCTCTTAGGGATGATGTGATTCACTAATTCAAGGCTTAACTCCCGTATTTATATTTAAGTTCAGCACAAACAACCTTGAGGGAACAATGAGAAATTGTTTTCCTAATAAAGGGATACGAAGAGTACAAACATAATTATTTCATTTCTCTGAATACAAAAACATACAAGGTTGTAATTATTTATGCTTCGAGCTGCATTTGAACTCGGAGCTACGCTAAAGCCTCGTTTACAAAGCGGCCAAGCAAAGACACGAGTTAACAGACAGCAGATATGAGTGTATTCATTTAAAAAAATCAACCTGAGATAAAAATATCACAAAGGCAAATTAGTAAAATAATTAAATCGACTTCTTTAAATTCCTTAAATAGCATAAACATCTCTAGAATAAAGAAGTTTGTAGTTCTAGATGCAAAGAAGTCTCATCAGCGGTGGAACTCTGGCCCCTAATATTGAATCATCCTTTGACAGAAATGTGATTTGTCTTTTTCTTTTCAATATTCTTTGTTTTGCGAAATAGAAAAACAGGATATAAGCAGTTGGGGTTTCCTTAACAGTGATTATGTAAAACTCCTTGATTTCATGCTCAAACAAACTAATCAAGTGAACGACTGAAAGATTCACAGTCTACCACAGCTTCAGATATGATGTAAAAAGTTAAAACAAAAAAACGACTATTACAATTTTCATCTTTTGTCGAAGTAACAAACCCATTTAATTTATCCTCATGTAAAACCAAGAGGGGCAACAAATTCTGCCATCTGACAACCTGAAACTATCACTTCTTTGCACTTTTCATGATAAAATGACCAATCAACAAGCACAACAGTGGCCAAGAAACTTTCTGCTGATTGACTGAGTGATGAAGTCAGACGTCTTCATGAATTGAATTGTTCTGGATTGTTTTGTACTATTTCTATATTTCTAAATGCTGCTATCAAAGTCACAGTCTTGGTATTCCGTTGGCACCAACGTGGAAACAGGCGGCCACATAATCATGTAAAGTCACCCTGATTCCCTGCAGTTATTATATGGTGTGAAAAGTGATGCTTAGCCTAAAAATAGCAACGTGTCATGATTTGACGGAGATCAGCGTCGACTGTATGTGACCAGTAACATCATTCAGTGTGTCCCTTGCTGCTGTATCGCCACAGAAGTAATTCTCACTTCTCTGTGTTTCCAAAGTTTTACCTGCACGTATTGTATAAACAAACAGGTGTAATGGTTGACGAAAAATCTCAACTTTGACGTGTATAAACCTGCTTTTTCTAACTTGGGAACATCAAGAAGATGTAACTGACATTTTTTTCACACCTTAACATCTGCAATGCTCTTTTGTCCTCTTTCCCCCTCATCCATAAGGATTTCTAAGTTCTGACTGACTGTTGGGGAGTTCCAGGTATGTATCATCAACCCCAGCTCACACAACTGGAGGTGTTAATGGTGGTGAAGCTGCACTGGGAGAGACATCAGGACTGCATTGTCTGTGTCACTGCTTGTGTTTGGCTGCTTCATTCTCAAGATGAACCACTTTTCTGTTTTTTTTGGTCTTCTGCTGGGTCTGAGGTGCATCAGGATGCTGTGATTGGAGAAAATCTCAGATACTGTGGACACATACGAGGTGACTTTGTGGTCAAACCTGTTTCTTGTTTCTTGCCTGTTTAATGTGTTGTTTTTTTCCCCTGATCTCTTTGCCAACTTAACCGCACAATGGTCACAGTGGGAATTTTTTGATTTGCATTCCCTCTGATCCATGTGAACAGTTGTTGTGTTGGTCCAGTCCAGTTACAACTCGTCTCCAGTTGAGGGAAACACTGCAGACTTCATGCTTTATTGCTGATTTATTTATGTTCAAAGACTGATTTCCGACAGTATCCAGCTGCTGAGCACAGCTGCTCTGCCTGGATACGTGGTCCAGCTGTTACTATTTGAACTTCCACGATAGATGTGTTTATTTAGGAGTTCAGGAGCACAGCAGCTTCTGGACAACTCTGAGCCAGTAAAACCATCACTGCACAGCCAGTGCTGCTGTGTGCAGTCGGCGTTAAGTCACTAGAAAACAAATGTGTCTGGTATAATCTTAACAAGAGCTGCAGCGACATGACTCAAGGCTGCAGACTGATATATGAGCAACCACAGCTGAGTCTCTGTAGTCTGTAGGCTGCATGAGTGCATCCTCAGCTGTGGCTGGAGTCATCGCTGCTACTACGGTTATGACACACTAGTTTCTGAAGTTTGTAACACCGACTACATGCAGCAGTAATGAGTTCAGCGATAGTTTTGCTGGCTGAGTGTTGTACTGAAGCTGCCGGACCCCGAATCCACCACTGAAGCGCTGAAGGACAGCAGCACAGACTGAACCACAGCAGCACCTGAACATTAGCTATGTCATCTCATCACAATCAGGAGCTAAACACTGTTGGAGAACGAGCTTTTAAAATGAACAATGAGCAAAAATGCATCATAAAGTACGACATCATTTCCCCTCTGTAGTATTTGCTGAGTGCTGGATAAACACAGCAACTGTTCCGAGTGGATAGAGAGGAATGTAAAGCATGTCCAAGGTAACACAAATCAAAAAAGCGTTGGTTCATAGTGCTTTCTTAATATGTGTGTTCCTTTTCCCTTCTTTCTTGGTTGGCTTATGTTCCAGTGGATGGTGGGAGTCAACCAGTAGGGTTATAAAAACATTAAGGCTTCTGTTCAGCTCTGTCAAACCAGCCCACATGCTACTATCCACCGAGTCGATATATTCTACTTCTACTTTGATTCTGACCCAGGTGTCGTCCAAACATCTCAACCAGTGGCTGTTCCCTTGTAAGAGCTCAGTGCTGTTTTCCACTTCCTCCATGTAGAAATTTGGCCACAAAAGGAAACACTGGAGAGCTCATTGCCCAGCTGTGTTTTGGCCTGTAGAAATCCTTATTATACCTGAAGTGGGTGATGTTGGACGGAGGAGAAAACGATGTGAAATGCTGCCAAATGACAGGCTCATATCTGCAGGTGACTCAGACTCACACGGTGGAAACATAAAGCGTCTTTTTTGGACCGTGCTGTGCACATATTGAGCTGGACGGAAACCTCAATGTTAAATTTTTTTTTTTTTTAAATCCACACACAGGCGTGCACCTGCTGTCAGACTCCAACCGGAACATGAGCTGGAGGTTATCAGAACCTTACAGCACCAGAAAAGAACACACACACATATTAGGAAAGCACTTAAATCCTGTGGATATCCCAATCAGCAAAGACATGTGGCAAAAACAGCACAACACTGTCGTCCCTTATGTGGCCGAGTTTTCTCCAAACACAACATCTGGTGCATTTCACACCCAGCAACACTCTCACTGGTTCACACTGAGGATAAAACATCCAAACACAAGCTGAGCAGTGCTGCATGTTCAGTCCAGTACAGCGTGGAGTGCACTACATGTGGGGGAAACTAAGCAATGGTGCTACAAGTGCATGAAGCAACACAGGAGAGCAGCTCCTCAGGACAAAGACTCTGAAGAATCTGAAGGACAATACAACACTACTTTGATGAAAACAATGTCCACATTCTGGACAGATGGTTTGATGAAAGACTGCTGGATGCCATCTGTGTTAAACTGAACCATGCATCTTTAAATAAAAGAAGCGTACGACACCACTTAGCAGCTAATAACAGCCCGGACATCCCTCCCCAGGCACTTTCACCACTATTCTACTTTTCCTCCAAACTCACACGGAGCACATTCAGGAAGTTCGTGCTGCATCTTTGTGTTTCACTCTAAATGTTAAAGTTCTGGATGATGCAGAGTGCCGCTGTGTTCTGTTCTTTCTTCTACAGCCAATTTAACAGCAAATAACTGCCTGCACTTTGGCTTCCTAGGTGTGAAGCAGCTGCTGATTGGACAGCCGGAATGAAACCAGCGGGGCTGTAATGACCGGGATTGAAGTGCACTGTGCTACTGTGAGTTATTTCTCCATGTTTCATTAAAAAAAAAAGAATTGCAGATATGCTGCTTCCACTTTTATACACCGCAGTCGCCAATTTTTGAATTTTTTTTTGCTTTTGTACATTTCTCACATCTCAAAACTTCTGTTCAACACATCACAAAAGCTTTTTATTATTCTTTTGAAGAAATTGAAAATGTTTTTGCACTTTCATGCAACAGATTTTGTCCAACTTGTTTCTACACCATCAATAGTCTGTCATGTTGAATAGCCTAACCCCCCCCATATGTTAATTCTGTAGTTAATTGCACAAGTCATTACAAGCAAGTGGTTGAGTTGACTTTCATAAGCTGTGAATCAGACTTTTTTCTTGTTTATGTGTCCTGACCTGACCGTGGAAGATTGATGGCTCGGGATTACACAGGATTCGCATCTACAATTTTACTGTCTGCACTCTAATTTGTCGGCGGGCTGTTGTTTTGATACATAAGAGGAAAATATAAGACTGTTTGACAGCACAGCGTGGCACAAAGTTAGAAATATAAACACCGCAAACACACCTTAGGCAGAACTGTACGTGCAGCGCCGTGTGGTCTGTTGGGCTGCACATTCTCATCCACATCCCAACAGATATGTTTCCTTTGCAAAGCAGCATAGAAAGAACCTTTTGGAGTGTTTTTGTCCAGCCTATGAGCTGTTTGCTGTCAAGTATTTTCACCTTTGTGCTCTTCAGCCTAAAATTTATTGAGTAAATCTGACTGTGGAATTAAAACTACAGATATCAACAGCATCATTCTGACTAGTCGTACCTCCAGTGTGACTATAACACAGTTCTGACTAGTTTAAATAATGGCTGCAGATATTTAAAACATCATTATGACTAGTCTGAACTGTTCCGCATGACGTTACTCATTCAAAGCCTTCCATTGCAGATTAATCCAGCAAAGCATTTGAACAGTGTTGGCATAAGTAATGGTGGCTGCTGCAGTGGATAAAATATTTAGAAAATGCAGTGAAATAAAAAGACTTTTGTTCATCAGAGGCTTGTGGCTGAAATTTTACTAGCACTTTGTCCTCAGGCTGCTCTGACATGACGGTAAACTGGTTGTCATAAGAAATTATGGTCACGCTGCCACGGTACGTTAGAAAAACGAGCTGCCTCGGCCTTCACCACCCACTTGCCGTAGCCTCCAGCGTGACTACAGATATCTGTAACATCACTGCCTGGTCAAAGCTCGAATTCAGGATATCTGTAATTACATGTTGACCAGGCAGGACTCCACTTCAGCATATCTCTGAAGGACAATCCCTTGACAATGACTTGAGGGAAATGAAAGATTTCTTAAAATAGACGTATGATAAGCTGGAATCAAACAGTAGAGATCTGAAACTGGAAATAACAACTGTTCATAAGTTAGCTGCATGAGAAACCAGCGCACATGGATGGTAAAAGTGACGTCATGTGTCCTGGAAAAAAGGTGATGTGATCTGAAATGAATTACACATTTCTGCCACATATGTCCAGACTGGATATTAAATGTTTATTGAATGTTAATTACATGTTGTGGCAACAAACTACAACACAAACAGTAAAGGTGAAAATGTGACTCCTGTCCAGTAACTTGCCATCAATCTCCCACATACATGATTAATTATATCTTCTTTACCTTCCTGCTCTGCAGTGGTTTTTATATAAATCTGTTTATTTCCTTCCCTTTAAAGTTGATGATTTGTTTGCTTCTGTAACGTGTGTTTTGAAAGCTGTTTTATAAATATAGTTTAATATTATTATGACAGTAATTTAGTATTTTCAGTCATTGCCATTAAAAGCTTACTTGTAGTTTACTTTAAAACTACCTGCGAGCTTCACATTGGCAGCATGTTGACTGTCTTGTTTGTAATCAATGACACACAGATTAATCATTCTGTTGACATAAAAATTACTTTAAATTACGATCTGAACAACTTGCAGGCTTCAGCAGGTAATCCATAGTGTGGTGCAGTTTGTACAAATTGTAATTCGAAATAAAAAGAATTTTAAGAACTGTCCTGTGAGCGAGTAAACTATCACATTGTTTGACAGCTGTCATCAATGTCAGTGGGTTTCCCCGTCTAAAGGATCGCTGCGTTGTTCTTGTTGAAATCTGTGTTACTGACAGTGATATAAGTTGCGGTGACCTACATTATCGTCCTGGTCGTCGTCGCTGTCGTCGTCGCTGACCACCGGCTTGGCCTTCCCTCGGCTTTGCCTCTTCTTGCCTTTGTCGTGGCCTCGTGCGTCCCGGCTCAGCTTAATCTTAACGCGCACCGACTTGGCTGAATGAAACACAAGCGGAGAACGGGAATAATTTAAACAAAGTCTTACACAACCGCTGTTAGTCACTGTCTGCTCTGTCAGAAAACATAAGTAACACTCATCTCGCCAAAGTTTGCACCCACCCAATGCTGATTATGTCTGGAACCGCTGAGTTCTGTCTGGCGTGAGAACCAAAGCTCAGAAAATGAGTCTGTCTGTTAACTGATTTACAGAAAATTCATCTGTTTTAACAGTTCTAGTAGATTTAATTGTGTACGCAGGGCGTCGTGGTGGTGCAGTAGTTATTGTCTTTTTTGTGGTTTTATATCTTTTCATGTGTTTGAGTTAGCAGACAAAAAAAAAAAAACAATCTGAAAACCTGATTTTAAAATGTCAAATGTTTCCCATTTTGTTGAGACAAACAAGTAATTAGTATTAATAGTGAAAAGAATCGGTTCATGTTAAATGTCAGATTAGCTGTTAAATAAAAACAATTTGTCATTTTAATCACTGTATTTTTACTTACTTTAGTTTTACTTTTGGCAATTTCTGATCATGGTTTGGACCATATTTGGGAATAAAATAAACCCGTCTTCCATATTACTGCATAAATGATGTTAAATGAATTTTTTAAATAATTGCAGATTACAGTCAAAGCTATTCTGGGGAGTCAATGAAAGCAGATGTTCCACATTTAGATAGTGATTCTGAAAACGATGAGCAAGTTTAAATTAAATGGCAGTCTGACTGGGGAGTCATTTATTAATTTGATTGATGAAGTTAATTGCTTTTTCTAGAACTATTAACGTCATCAATCTTTTTCAGTCTAGTTTTGCTTTGGCTTGAAAGGGCATAAAAACTTAAAGTGTCCCTTTAGTCGGGTTGGGTGATAAGAAAAATGAAAAATGTATCACGACCAAATGTTTAATTTCTGTCAATATCAATAGTTACTGTTTTTTATGACCTATTTTAAATAAGGAACTAGTAGAAAATAGCTTTATTTTAAATGTTTTTGCCTATTTATCAAGGTGCACAAGCAATACTTCTAATGTTGGACAATAATTAAAAACATAAAGTTACATGTATAACTCCAAATAAATAATAATAAAGTAATGATGTCACCTTCATACAATCAAACTTTGGGTTTTTGTCATGTACTTTCATTTATCGAACATTATTGCTGTTGGTATGTATTTTACAGCCCCGTTCACAATCAATGTTTTGCTCCCCAAGTGCAGTTAAAATAGAATTTAAAATAAAATCTTTCACATTTGGTTTTTACTGAGCCACAGTTTGAAGGTAACAGTCGTCCACGGTGCTCCGGGCGGGACGGCGCTGAATATTAAACTAGAACAGCACTCGGAGGGTTTACAGTGCGGACTTTAAATGAGACAACACAAGGTTGCTGCTGTGTGTTTGTGCGTCTTACACTCGGCCTCTGACTCATCGTCGTCTTCGTCGTCATCGCTGTCATCTTCACTCTCTTCTTCCTTGGCGATTTTCTGTCTGGCGCTCTTGAACACAGACTGAAGAACGATGGAGTCCTCGTATATCTGCAGGAATAAGAAGATTAATAAAAAAGGAGCGGACGTTCCGGTGGTTAGTCACGCTGGAAGATGTGGGAAGCAATAAAAAAAAAGAGGACATTAAGCTTTAATGGGCAGAGAAGGGAGTAAAAATAGCAGGTTAAGGATAGAAATAGAATAAGTAGCGATTATCATTCATCTGTAGGGACGTGGCAGTTCAGACCTTGGGGCTGAAATATAGACCTTTCCCTAAAAAGCTACGAAACAGCCCTGTTCTTTTTTTTGATTTTCTGTCCGGGTTTTTTCCTCTGTGTACTTTGGCTCGTTATAATACATTATGGGGACAATCCCTGCTGGGAAACAAGGGCTAACGGAACAAATACAACATTTATTAACACATTTGTCTCACTAAATAATCGCAATGACTAAGAAAACAAAGTCAAGGACAAAGCTGCTGCAAAAAAAGATCAAGTTAAGCCACTGGATAATCAACAAATAAGTTCACTTCTATTAAATGGTGCCAGCTCACAACGTACGTCGTCTCAAGGCGCGTCACTTCAATAAGGTAAAGAGCTTTCAAATTTAATACAGAACAACACAACAAATCCAAAGTTTCCTTGGGACTCCCTTTGAGCAAGAACTTTGCAACAGAGGGAAAAGTTTTTAATTAACCAATTAATAGTTTGTTGTAAAAAAAAAAAAAGCAACAAAAGCCAGCTTTAAATGGAAAAAGCTCAAAACATGTTGGCAGCAGCCATGACACGTCCCACCAACAGTCCAGGACAAAACGACCTTCAGTTTACTGTGAAATGAGACGGAGACGAGTCCAGAGTGTTTGGCAGTAATTATGCCTCCACCGGGTTCTTCCTTTTTTATACACGGCTGACGCACCGACGTTTGCCGGGACCGACTCGACATCCAGGATAATTGTTTCACCTCAGCTTCCCCTCAGCAAAGTCTCTGTGAGTCATTCCTGCAGAAAAGCAAAGAACTAAACCCAGTAATACAGGATTCTGTGCCTTGAAGCAGGATTTGGTGCTCAGCGAGGGGAATTTAAATTTTTTAATTCTGAATTTTCATGAAAACACTAAAAAGTGCTTTGTTGTGTTAACTTATGCCGAAGAGCAACTTTGGAGCAGATTACGTTTCGGATAACAAATCAACACGTATTAAAACGTTGTTTACTGGAGAGTCAGCTCTCTTAGAAAATATCATCACCTCTGCTAAAAGATCCAGTGGAGCTCAGACGGTGAGAGGGGAAGTTCTAGAGATGACATGACATATAAGCTACTGGAGTCTCAGCAGAAGGAACTCCTGTCTTCCTCACTTAGTTTTTTTGATTTCCCCGGTTGAGTTTCAAACAATGTTGTAACAGCTGTTCCATAGGCCTTATAGCTTTGGCTACAACCATAAAACACAAACTGATTCAAAGACTACAGCCTCACACTTCTAAACTTTATGGGATTTTCAGTAAACCAATTTACTGGTTTAAATTCTGTTCTTGTACTTGCTCTCATGACCATTTTGTGGCGTAAGGGGGTTCAGTAGACAGAATAAAGTTAAAACTGCCGGTATGAAGAGGCTTGATTTAAGTAGCAACACTATTTTAGGGCTGCAAGGTGGCGCAGTTGGTTAGCACTGTTGCCTCGCAGCAAGAAGGTCGCCGGTTCACATCACGGTGGGCGCACCGGGATCTTGATTCTCCGGCTTCCTCCCACAAGGTCCAAAAACATGTTGAGGTTAATTGGTGATTCTAAATTGTCCGTAGGTGTGAATGTGAGTGTGCTTGGTTGTCTGTCTCTAAGTGTAGCCCTGTGATAGACTGGTGACCTGTCCAGGTGAACCTGCCTTCTCTCTAAGTCAGCTGGGATAGACTCCAGCTCCCCCTTGACCCTAATGAGGATGAAGCGGTGTCTAGATGATGGATGGATGGACACTATTTTAATGGAACACAGATCTGAAATATTAAAGATTCAAGATTCAAGGCCTTTATTTATCACAAACACAATTATACATAGTATAATGTGCAGTGAAATGGATGATGCACCTTTTCCAGACCGAAACATTACCTTTATTTATGGTTTTTACAATATCAGGCTCAGTATCATGTGCAATATTTAATTTTCATGTAAATGTAATGTGCACTTTTATTTTTTTTTCATGTGCAATTTTTCAATTTCATATGTAATCTTTAATTTTTACGCACAATATTTAACATGTTATATTACTTTACTACCTCATATTCATTGATAGTATTTCTTCTTACTTTTCTATTCTAGTCTTATTTTAGCTTTCTTATTTCTATTTTTCAGCAATATGTCGCACTTATATCTTATTGCTTTTCTAATACGCACTGCGTTCATTCTCATGTCGTTTTGTTTTCTATATCTGGTCCGGGAATTTCCTTTGGGATTAACAAAGTTCCATCTCATCTATGTTGCTGTTGGTCTGTATTATATTCTTCAAATCTTCATACTGGTTTAGGATTATAGTTGTTTGTTCGTGTGAGGAAAATGCAGCTCTAGACTTGTAGTTGTTTGATCACATCTCACTATAGACACTCAGACTATAAAAATATGTCTTAAACGCTGTCAAGGAATCTGCAACAACCGTGACACAATGTGCTGCAAACTAGCCGGAGCCTGAAGGCCAGAGCTGGAGCGGGCCAATGCTAAAGCTTAGCACACAATAAAAACAACCAGTTCTTTCTAAAGACCCGAGTTCTAACACATGTCACAGAAAGACAAACCTGGACACGACGTGTACACGTGAAACCAGAAGTTTACATACACTGTATAACAAGACACACAACCTTTCTTTTTCTCACTATCTGACATTAGACTAAACTGTTCCTGTTTTAGGTCAGTTGGGATTACCAACATTACTTCTATTTGCTTAAACACCAGAAGAATGAGTCTGTCAATTAACTGACTTACAGAAAATTCATCTGTTTTAACAATTCTAGTTGAAATAATTGTGTATGCAGGACATCGTGGTGGTGCAGTAGTTAGTGCTGTCTTTTTTGTGGTTTTATATCTTTCTAAGTGTTTTGGTCTGTTATGTTGACAAAAATAAACAAACACTCTGAAAACTTGATTTTAAAATGTCAATTTTTTCTCATTATTTGTTGAGACAAGCAAGTAATTAATATTAATAGTGAAAAGAATCAGTTCAAGCAGTAATGTTAAATGTTAGATTTCTGTAATTACTGGTGAAGAAAAACCTAACAATCTGTCATTTTTGATCCCTGTATTTTGACTAACTTTAGTTTTTTTTTGTTTGTTTTTTTAAAAAAAAATTTTGATCATGGTTTGGAATATTTTGGGGAATAAAATAAACCCCTCTTCTACCCCATCTCTGGCGAGAGAACTTTTTTTATTACTTTCTTCAAAGTCAGAAGTTTTTGACTCAGTATTTGGTAGCATTGCCTTTAAACAGTGTGACTTGGGGAGAATGTTTTGGGTTTTCTTCCACAAGCTTCTCACAATAGTTTAATGAGTTCTGGCCCATTCCTCCTGACAGAACTGGTGGAACTGAGTCAGGTTTGTTGGCCTCCTCGCTCCAGGATTGAGAGCAGGGCTTTGTGATGGCCACTCCAACACATTGTTGTTGTACTGAAGCCTCTGTGTAACTCATTGGGCAAATAGAAATAACTTTGGTAATCCTAACTGACCTAAAACAGGAAAAGTCTGATTTAATGACAGTGAGAAAAAATAAAAGGTTATGTTATGTCTTTTTATACAGTGGATGTAAACTGACGAGAACAGATAAACCACAAAAGCATCATTAAACGTGAAAGGAATCCCACAGAAAGACAACAACATGTTACTCAGAACTGCGTTTTGTTTTTATTACCGTAAATTCTGGACTAAAAGCCGCTACTTTTTCACACGCTTTGAACACTGCCGCTTAAACAATGATGCGGCTAATTTATGGATTTTTCCGTTTTTTACGAATTTGCCTTGAGACGAAAGTGACACTGAGAGCGACAACGAAAGAGAGACTGAGGAAGTGTGTGACGAAGTAATTCTGAGGCTGTTCAATTCTGACACCGAAGAAGATGACTTCAGTAGTTTTAGTGCACAGGAGGAAGATAAATATCGTGATCAATGACTTTTCCTGGTAGGCTGCTGTATTTTTTGTTTTTTATTTTTTAACCAGCCGTGTTACAGGCACTGTTCGGAAAAAGCATTTATGGTACGTATTTGTGTATGTTACCGGTATGTATTCAATTAAAAGTTTTAAAAAATCTTTCTGTGTAAATATCTCATGGTACAACGTGGACACCTGTGGCTTATAGAAAAGTGCAGCCTGTATATGTACACATTGTTTTTCCTTTCTAAAGTTAGTGGGTGTGGCTTATATTCAGGTGTGCTCAATAGTCCGTAAATTACGGTACAAATAAGTGATCGTTTAAATGATGGAAATTGTGTTTCAAGTAATTGTTTCAGTAAAACTTGAGATCGAATGCAGCAGACGTCTGTCGCTCCATTACACGTGTTTTAACACTAGTGTAGTATACATGACCAGGTTAGAGGAGCTGAAGCGTTTCCTACCTGGGATCCCTCCAAGTTGAAGGTCTGTGCGTTCTGACAGAGCAGCATCACGTCCTTCTCCAGGTCTCCCACATTCCTGTATTTGTGGTTTCTCACACGTTCCTGAAGAAAAACACCAGCAATGAGTGAACGCTCGATTATCACCCAGTTAAGTCTTGATATTCATGCCTCGCTGTCTTCTCTTAAATTCTGCAAAATTATACAAATCTTTCAAATGACACCAACTAACAATTACTGTTAACATCGGTTGGGCTTTTAACTAATTTGTAGAGTAGCTGATCAATCAGTCGGTCCATAAAATACCTAAAAACGGTTAAAGCTACATTACAATTTTTAAAGTCTCATAATATTTTTATAGACCCAAGAAGCTGGAAAAACAAAACATTTCCTCTGCATCCATTATTAAACCTGCTGTGAATTATTTATCTAACACTAATCAATCAGCTAACTCCAGCAGGTTCTTTTTCTCACACACAGCAATCTGTTTATCTTTTTTATTTTTTTGGAATTCACTATCCAAACAGACCCCTTTATCTTTATCACTGTGTTCCTACCACCAGCACCATCCTTCCTCTTCCACACAAACTGCTGGATCATCTTCATTTACACACCTTGATCTTCTTGAAGTCCACAGGTTTTCTGATGAGCTCATAATATTCTGGGAGTTCCTTCCTGGACGGAAGCTGGACGAAGACTTCGCTCAGTTGTCTTCCTGACCTGGAAATAAAGTAATCACACATCATAGTTAAACTTCTACCCTGTCCAGTAGCACATTTTAAATAGAAGCTTCTGTCAAGGAAGCTTTTTCTATCTGTTCTATGAAATTATATTTACAAATTAAACATGTTCAGTCCAGCTAGTTTCCCTGTAGTTTGGGTAAAAGGGAAATAAGTCAGAGAGGAGAAGTTGGCGTTTGTGTTTTCTTGTATTAACTTTGTAAACAGACGCCTGGCTGCTCATCTGCTGTGCTTCCTCCCACAAAGGTTTTCTGCTCCAACGCTGAGGTCGCTTCTAAACTAATCATTATTAATGTTCGATTAATTCATGAGTGGTTAAGTTCTGCCAGCAGACACTTCTCACTGCTGCACTCTGAGACTTCGCATTAACTCGGATGTTCCTTTAGTCATTTTAAACACATCTTTGAGGCCAAATCATTTAAGAATCCACTTGTAGCTGTTGAGACCTTCACGCACTAATTACTACACAACCAAGAGGCCGGATGAGTCGGCCTTCGACCAGAGGGACGACAGCTCGACTCCTGCACCAGCTGAACATGGAAAATAGATGAGAAGCAGCTCTGCTACATTCAATTATTGTTGGCTTGACCTTCAATCTGCAGTGATTAATTTATGACCGCTAGAGATAAATAAATTAACAGCTACTGCTGGATGAAACCACCCAACTGTGGCTTTACTGTTTTACTACCAAGATTACAAAAGAACACACAAAAATGTAAAAACATGTCTAGTGACAGCTGAGACAGACAAGATCAAGAGAGCGGGGTAGTGTTTAAACAATCTATTAAAGCATCTATCATAAAAGCTCCACAGACTACTGGACTATGACCAAAGAGAGATCGCTCAACGGAGTCCAAACAGAACCGCGCTGCCAGTAGCAAGACTCTTAGTTGAACCCAAACACCCTCCGGCAGGTTTGAAAGGCATCTCATGTTTAAAAATGTGGCTGAAATAACAACATTTATCAGACAGACACTGTAAAATTAAAAAAACTTTTTGGGGTTTTTCAACTTTGCAACAGACTTTGAAATAATTATGTGTAATGTGTTGTTCCATCAGGACAACTGATCAAAAAGAAACTGCTTGCACCAGATTTCATTCTAAAATAAAAAATAAATCTGTACTGCATTTGCACCTGGACTTTTTGGCTGAACTGCCAGTTGTGTTTACAGGATGGATATTTGACAAACAACAGAAATTAAGATGAAAATATGCGGCAAGTTGGTAGTTTGTTGTTGGAAAATACATTCAGCAAGGTGAAATAAGTAATTAATCAAATTCAGCTTTCATTTTTTGGTCCTTTTTTCAGATTTATGGCATTAAAATTGGCTGTTGTTTTCATAGAGGTGCAGGACTTAATATTGCAGAGAGAAATTAGGTGAGCTTGAGTGAAAAAGAGAGAAGGAAAAATAAAAAAAAAAAAACACCCAGAAACTGCTTGGAGTTTAGAGATTTACCAAATGTTTTAGCAAGTTAGTTTGTTATTTGCTGCATGGAAAAGACAAAAATCCGTTTAGTTCACAGTTGTAACGGCTCAGAAACTACTTTAGACATCTGAGTTCATGTCAGCAACAAAACTTCAACAACAGTGTTCTTTTAAAGCAGATAATTATTTTTTAATTTTACCAGATTTTGCCTGTTTTGTTCATATAAATAATAAACAGTCGGACTTATTAATAAATACAGCTGCAAAGTCACCCTAAATATAAACTTCCATCTTCAGGTTGAAACTGCAAACGACACACATGAGCAGGATGTTCAATAATAAAATCCACAAGCCCACAGCTGTAAGATGTTTGGAGCGACAATTATACAATTTTTCTGTTCGGAGTTGTTTCTAACAATCAACATAACAAATTCCTGGATTTGTCTTTGAGAAATGATTCTGCACAGTGACCGTAAACAGTAGCAGCAGTAGTTCAGCCTGATTTCACGGCTCCTGACGTCAGATTACTTGGATATTGAATCACCGACGGAGGTCTGGATGTGCTGTGGGTGTAGACTGTGCTGAACCCAAACAGGTGTTTGACGTATAAAGCGTGATGCTTCTCAGCCTCACAGCTTCTGTTAAAGACGATGGAGTTACTGGAAACGCGATCTGGGAGGCTTCCAACGAGGAGGCTTTCTTGTAATGTCTCACGATAGGCAGATGGTAAAAACAACTGTTGATTTCAAAACAAGCTGCTCTGTGCGTGACATACTGTATTTGGAGATCAGGGCGTTCTCTGTTGCAACAAGACCTCCGCATAAATACACCTTAATCTGCTCTGTGAGGGGAAAAGGAGCCGAGACTGTTGCCAGGCTCCCCTGAAGAGATAAGACTTTATTAAATTCCAAGAAGCTCCAAATCAGATTTAAGTTGTACTCGCATTCGCCTCATGCAATTTGGAGATGTACTTTGTTTTACGAGGAAACGGCATCGTACCTCCGGACTGCTAAATCCTGGAGTGGAACTTTAAAATTGTAGCCCCAGACTACTGAAGTGAGACGAGAGCCCGTGATTGAGATGCTCTGGGAAGAACAACCATCAACTGGGAGAGGAAAGAATTTGACTCCTGGAAAGGCAGGTAGCGGTTTCCTGGAAACGCTTCAGCGCTGCAGTGAGCCAGAGAATACTTGAGCGATGGGAACACAAATTGCACATGTTCTTCCATGCACGGGTGCATGTCGCAGGGAGACGCATACTTATGCTTTTGCATATGGGCAAAAAAAAAAAAAACCCAAAAAAGCAAAAACGACAGATTCCAGACACAACAGAATAGACCACACACTTAACTTAGAATATAAGATTCCTGTTCCTAAGACATGACTTCATGTCTGCTCATTTTTACCCTGCAGACCAGGAAGGAATCTGTACTTTCCACTGGATAATCGAGGCATGGCTGATTTGCTACACTCTTGCAAATGAGGCTACTCAAAAGTACATTTTACCACAACCATAACAAGTACAAACCCTCACGAGGCTGGATATTGATTCCCGATAGAACTATAAATCAGGATGTCATGGGAGCTGATCCCTCGGTGCCGAGCCAATATCAAAATTCTGAAGACGTGACGTTCTTAATCATGATGGTGCAGAAGCAACCAAAGGTAACACAGCTGTAATGGGACCTCTAATGGAGATTGTGGTTTCCCTATGATAGCTATTTAAGTGCAGGTGGAACAAAAGGCCCATAAATAAGTTGTTAATGAAGATATTTAGTGTTTCAGTAGACGATAAATAGTCAGGTCTGTAACGAACAGAAGAAACACCTCAACTTTTTTGAGCAGATCACAGACAGACATCCAGGTCTGTAAACTGAATTCAAGCTGAGACAGTTTCAGTCATTAAGCTGAATGATAACATTTCTTAACAGAGTGTTCATTTTGGACACTTGAAGGCTACAATCTGCTGTTTTTTAATAATATTCTTAATCTATTTATTACATTTCTTACATTTATTAGTAGAAATGCGAGGCCACCATAAAATAGTTAGTTGTGTTTTCATTTTTGGCATATTAATAAATATATAACAATTTAAATAATTGTATTTTTTTATTCCATCTAGGGATATTACCTGCTGCTCATAATTAAACCAATTAAAAATGTAATAAAGCAGAAGACGAAGGGCATGCATGTCATAAATATTGTACATTAGCTGTAGAATCTGGTTGCGCTACCAAGTGGAGTCTCTTTATCTTTAATGAGCTGGAAGACGGCAGTTGGTTTAACGCTGTATTAACCAGACGAGGCAGTCGCTTAGACTACGGGCAGCTCTGTGTTGGCAAGTAGGGAACATTTTGGCGGTGTAGCTTGCAACAGTCCACCATGACAAAGACTTCTGCAGCGGTTAATGACTTCCTGCCTGAACTCTCACGCTAAAGACGATACAGGGTCCAACTAGGACACCATTCTTACTGACAAACTGCTAATTTAACCAACTTTCCTTCAGTAAACATCACGTCCAAGGTGAGCAACAGACATATCAATGAATGGAATAATGTCCCCTGTACTTAATCGATTGTTCATTTATAGTGCTACTGACTATCAGTTCAGAAAATTAAAAACTTGGTATCTCTAGCTCCATTCCAAAATGTTCTCAAAGAAAAGAGTTTATGTTAAAATACCTTCATTGTTTGGTTTATTTTTTGTTGTGCGATTGAAACTGGTACAGAGAATCATAAAATTATAGTCTTATTGGTACCGACAGCTAAATTTGTAATATCACGACGTCCCTAACTACTATTTTTCCAACAGTTTACTACACAGATAGGTCTTAATTAAAACTGCTCACTGCAAAGTCAATGCTTATACTGACTGAGGTGCAAAAGTAACTACAGAGAATCTGGTTGGCCTAATTTAACACACTTAACAGGTGAAAGTAGATATAGCGCCTCCTCCTGGCTGGTTCTGCTGCAGTCTCTCTGCAGTCGACCATGTTTAAAGCAGAGATGTTCAGGCTAACATACGATACTGTTTGAGTAGGACAGACAGTACAAAGCTTGAAGATCAGCAGGGTGTCAGCTCAATATCAGCACCGTGAGGGCAGATCACTTGATCTTTAGGGATTCCTTTTCAGCTCTGGCAGCATGTCACTTCAAATATGTCACAGAATGCCCTGAAAACATCATGTTGCACCAAGCAACCACTAACAAGGCTGCTGTGTCACTCAAAAGAATGTGGGCAAGATGGTTATATAATGTGCTAAGCAAAAAAACAGACCACAAACACCTCATGTCAGACTACATACAGACATGTATCTACAACAATGTAAATGGATCTCCTCACCCGTCTCTGTAGTTGATGACAGTATCGATGATGGTGTTCATCTGCTTGGTGAGTTTGGGCGGGTTGGGGGAGAACTTCTCCGCCGGCGGTCGTCCGCGTCTCTTCTTGGCCTTCGAGCTGCCTTCCTCTCTGCTGGACGAATCCTTGTCTTGACGCCTTTTGCGTTTGCGCTTCTTAAGCCGGATCTCCTCCTCCATCTCCTCCAGGTTTCCGTCCTCAATGGCCTGGAGGTGGAAAGAGCCAGAGCAGAGACGAGGTTGATCATTTTAACTGGTTCGCTTACGTTGAGGTGTTGTTGGGCCATTAGAGTGCACAAGTTTGCAACAGTTTCTGTCAGCTTCTGTCATTATACTCTTTAATCTCCTAACACCATCAATGGATGATGATTTACATGATGTTTTTTTGTGGTAAATTCCAATGTTTTACCACTTTTGTTGCAGAAAAGTCAAGAAAATACAGTTTAAAAATAATGAAAAGTTCTCTAAGTTGGGTTTTCATCACAAGGACTGGTACAGTATTCAAATAACCTTCATATTAAATTTCCTGTTACAACTATCAACACTGAGATATCCATTGCTCCCTAACAGCAGATATCATTGGACAGTTTCTATGTTGCCTCGTCGTGCTTTTTCTTCCTTATCAGAAACCGGCAGCCTACGAGTTTCTACAAGTTTTTCCTCTTTCAAGTAGAGTTTCACTGAACTGCAGCCAACAGCGAGTCCACAATACTGTCACCTTGGCCTCAGAGGGTCCTCCCTCTATTTTTGTTTTCCTTTAAACATTTGGGCCACGGTCGATAACATGGATCTGCAGGGCCTGAGATGTCTCCCGAGGGGAGGATGTCGAAGTCTGTTTGGTGTGGTTGACTGGGTGCCATCAGCATCACACCCAGCACAACTTTGGCTTCCAATTATAACTGAGACTCGCTTTGCTGATGATAGATAATACCTGCTTGTGCATAAGAATAATTTAGTTGTTTTAAACTGCAAATAGTCACATTATTTACATGAATCTCTTTCTGTGGTCACAGAGGAGCTGCCCTTGAAAACCGCATGTTTAACCCAGAATCGACCTGAGCTAAGTAAACAAGACTGTATGATGTCAGAAAAAAACTGAGTTATTTGTTCTTTTGTGGTGTGAAAAAAACAAGAAAATTGAGCAGATGAGTTGAATAACTTGATTCGGAAAGAATTCTTCATTCTAGAATGATTGAACTGATTTTGTAGGGATCATCAGAAATAAAAAAAATATATATATACATTTTGAAAAAAGCTGGGAAAAAAAGGTGTTTGGAACCTTTCTGATGTGGTGTTACAAAGACAAAGGCATCCTAAATAGTCCGCAGTCAGATCACATTAAACAAAGCTTCATGGTTCAGATTTAGTGTGGTGGACTGCACCACGAGGGTGCAAAACAGTGTCTACACTACTTAAACTGCCTGTTTGTGGTCAACATCATCCTTCCTGCGGCTGAAATATTTCAACACAACTGATGCTGTGTTTCTTTTTTAACAACCATACCTTACTTTTAGTGTTTCTCTCCTGTTCTTCATTCATTTTGCTGTGAACATGTGGAGTCTGCATGTCAACAAGCTACATGTCTTGTGAAAAAAGTTTTAAAAAACAGCCTCTGACAACAAATCGGAGTACAATCTGTTCTATCAGACAGACTGTATTTGTAAATGAATCATGGAAAATGTGAATTTTCTTTGGTATCAAAAGCAAAATAGTTTTAGCATCACGTGTCAGTTATTTGGATGCTGTCGATGTTGAATCGATAAATCATGCAGCTTTAGTTGTAGTAAAAGCAGAATTATCCCTGTATACATTTTTACTACCTAACATAATAGCAACAGATGTCACGATAAGTGTAATAACGTCATAAATTTCCTGTATCAATGTTTTTATTCGAGTCAATAAACCCAACACCAGAACGAAGACAGAAATTGACCCAGTGTTTGTTCTGTGTAGCCACAGCCTGGTGTAAGTCCTTCCTCTGTGCCCCAGAGCTCCACTATTGTCCAAAAACTGTTAAAAATACACGTGTGAGTCACACATGACGTACTCCTTCATCGACAAAAGCAGCTGTGTATTGGGTGAAAAAACCCTCCAACAAGCACTAATTACTCAGTTTAAGAAATGTTGCTGAACTGTTTTAGATTATGGAAGCTTTAAAAACAGATTACAAATCCATACTTTCTTTTTTCTTTGAGGTTTATGTCTGACTGACTTGCACAGTGTTGCTTTTCTTTCACAATTTGTTGAACACACTGCAAATAAATAACCGACTCATGTGTAACGTCGCCTTCAGAAGGCATTGAAAGCCTGATTTCTGAAGGGCAAAAGCAAACCACATACAGTGTCTCTGTTTCAAAGCAGAGAAATTAAACTGCAGGTTAATGACAGTTTAACAAAAACAGCGTGAGAGTACAAATGAGACTGTAACATACACCGACTGAATGACTAAACAAGCGCAGTGTGGAACACTGACTTGTTTTTTTAACTTAATTATCGAAATTGAGTTTATGCAAATCAAATCAATCCACATATTAAACAAGATTGCTGTAATTAACTGTAGAGGTACAGAGTGAAAATGTGGAAAAGGAACAAACTTTTCAACAGTGTGGCAGTGATACATGAATCTTATGCATTACCTTGTTTGTGGTTTTATTTCTAAAGGAATAAATGCTGATAATTTACCCGCAGCCACTGTTTCTCAGTCAGCGTGTCGCTGTAGTCCACGTCCCGGCGACAGCGTGATCCTCGACCAAACATCTTCTCCTCCTCCTCTTCGTAGGTGAGACGTTCCACCTCAGCGTCATCTTTGATGATCCAAGAAGGCAGCTCGTCCTCCTCCATCAGACGAGGCTTACGCTTCGGGTTCCTGGCATCCTCCCGGCGCCGGTCCATGTCCATTCGCTAAAAAGTTAAAAAGAAAGAAAAAAGGAAAAAAAATCACATCAGGTCAAGTAGCAGATGGTGACAGTTTGTGTTTTCTTTCTGTGGAATGGATCTCATAAGGTGGTCAACAGCAGTCGCGCTGTAGCAACAGCATCAAATTTCTCCTTTTGATATCATCACTGCAACACTAGATGGACGTACTAAACCTAATCAGGTCATACTGAACTGTAACTAAATTCCCAACAGTTCTGTGTTGACATTTATTCATTTACATTGTGATACAAAGTTACAGAGAGCTTTGTAGAGTATTTACCATCACACTGTCTCATTACTGAACAGCTCCTGCCATGTGATCACCATGTATACATCCTTTGGTTCATAGTAATAGAGAACAAAGACCGTTACCATTTTACTTTTGTTTTTTGAAAATTTTTCATTTATTGCTGTACATAATCTTTTGTTTTACATCTCTGACACTTTTGTGGACACTACTGCCTTTACTACCTCTGCAGCAACACTCACACTGTTACTGGCAGCAGACCTGCCACTGCACAGAATCTGCTGCTTTTGCCCACCCACGTTTTTTTTTTTTTCTCTTGCTCTTGCTCTTTTTTAATGTGTCACTCTTTGCCCACCTGATTGCTGCTCAGTGATAAATAAAGTTTTTTTGTTTCTGATATACTCTGTGCAATGACAATAAAGGATTATCCAATCTAGTTGTGTGTTGCTGAGAAATAGGAGCCAAATTAACAGTCTTTGTGGGTCCTGTAGCTGCGAGGCCTCAACATGTAGTTATGTTGAAGGAGGTTCAAGGGAGCTAAACGTGGGCTCTTTATTAGGGTCCGAGCACC